GAGTTTCGAGACTACCAGTAAATCAGTAATATGAGATGTATTCACCCTATTTCGTCTAAGATGATGAAGGGCTGGTAGTAGAATTTTCCCACAATGATATGATTTTAGCTAACGTTTCCATTGGATTTCACATAGGAGCTTGACACTAACCACTCGGAAGCACAGTGAAAATGATAATTTCAAGGAAGGCCAGGCCTTTTGCCATATCATCGCTAAATCGACCGATGCGAGGTCGAAGCTGCAGTCCACCCTGGATGAAAACAACTTTTGGGAAAGCAGGGTTATGTGAAATCCAATGGAAACGTCAGCTCAACTTATATCATTGTGGAAAAATTCTACTACCAGTCCTTCATCACCTTACACATAATAGGGTGAATACATCTCATAAAACTCGTATATCTTCATTATTTTTTTACTTTATTAATATTAAATAATTCATGTGATGGATGAGCCTGCAAATCACTGCACATTTTCTCAAATCGAAGCTTTTACAATATTTCGCGGCGCCCCTGTAAAGAGGCCGCGGCTTCCTGGGGCGTCGCGGCGTACTGTAATAGGCAGTCAGGTAATATGTTGAGTGAACTTAAGGCGGCATCTCGCTAGATACACATGTGATTCTAGCTAGATTAGCTTCATAAATCTTGTTGTATTAGTTATTAGTAAGAGTAAATTAATCCATTGCTTTATATTCCAGCTTGGCACTATGCGTTAATATATCGCTTTAGTGTCGCGTATTACTAGTGAAATCAGATAGAAACTATTAAGAAAAACTGGGTTTCAAAGAATTCTTTAGTGATATATTATGACATGACTTTCTATTTCGAAGGAAAGTTAGTTGGAAGGAATTAGTGATGCCGTCTCACCAGAAAACGAAGGAGGATTTTAGCGTAGAGAAGACTGTTTTATTGTGCGAAGAAGTCCTCGGTTCACAGTCCTGTGACCCCGATGAATATGTGCTAAGATTTCGTCTGTACTGTGACAGACATAATCGGAGCAAGAATCCATACTTTACGAAAGAGCAAAAAATATACTAAACAAAGGGAAAAAGTGGCTGGCTGCAACCCTAGTCGCGCTTTTATACACTATCACAAAACATTGTAGCAGCGTGATATAGAATGATATTGAATTACAAGTTGTCCCTTTTCATTATAGTCATGTAGAAACGCCACATAAGAATAGAACAATTAAAATTATTATAGAGACTTAAGGAGAATGACCAATTAATGGCAGACAACGGAGCGGCAGTAGTTATAGATAAGACTGATTATGTAGAAAAAAAGTTAGAAGCCTTGGACGATGATATAACATATAAAGCAATAATTATAGATCTGACATAAGGCCTTAAGGTCAGACTTAGGGGTCTTCTGCAACGATGCGTAAATAGCGGAGTGGAAAATTGGAAAATGAACGCACTTCTCCAGCGGGATACTAAACCCCCAAATGCTTATGGTCTGCCCATGATTCATAGGAAGGGTACCCCAATTAGGATTATTGTAAATAATAAAGGTAACGTGATGGATAAAACACCACAATCTATATGTACTCAGTTAAAGCAAATCTCCGAAACTTGGAATTTTTCGGAAAGGAACTCTATGAATTCGGTTGATGATCAGACGACATAGAGATTTGCCAGTAGATTTCGATGTAGTGTCTATGTACACTAACACTCCGATTAACGAGGCAATGAATGCCATATAATTAGCTCAAGAAAAATATTCCGAAATTAAAACATGAAAAAGTTAGTTAATTATTCAATTAAATTAATCAATTTAGGAATGAATAATAAATATTGTACCTTCAGTAGTAAGTTATAATAGCAAATACGAGGCTTGGCTATGCGATTTTATTTAGCCTCTATTTTAGCTAATGATTACATGACCCAATAAGAAGTTCGTATTTGTCAAGAGGCACTCATAGTTCCCAAGTTATTGGTTCGTTATATGGACGATTATTTTGTTGTTTGGCAACACGGCAAAGATAGTTTGAGTGAATTCCTTAATCCAATAAAAACAATGCATATAAATACCAAGTTTACCATAGAGTTAGATAAGAAAAATAAATTTTCTTAGAGGAACGAGTGTAGAAAATTGAACAGGAACTATTTGTGGCTGTTGGATTGGCTTAAAAAGAGGGCAGGAAGAGTCACTAAACAATAGAAGTAGGCCGGGTTAGCCTACATACATACACACAATAGACAATGGCACAAGCTCAAACATGATTCAGTATTAGAGGATCGTAGGCTAGGTTATTTACTTTTGAGAAAAAACAGCTGCTACAGAACGTACTTCCGATTGGTGAAGTAACTTCAATCACCTGCAAAAAGGTAGAGTAAGGTTGAAATAGCAAATTAAATCATGAGATGCCTCATTAATATTACAAAGTTAGGTGTATAAAAAGCGAATTGGGTTGCAGCCGGCCAACTTTTCTTTTGGTTTAGTATATTTTTGCTCTATTTCCTAAGTATGGATTCTTGCTAAGGTTCATCGGGGTCGCAGGACCGTAAACTGAGGACTTCTTCACATAATACGAGTCTTCCCTACGCGATAATCCTCCTTCGGTTTCCGATGAGAACTCATCACTAATTCATTCCACCCAACTTTTCCTTCGAAATGGAAAGGCATTCCACAATAAAATGGAAACTTACAATTGAACTGAAATAATAATAAGTTTACAAAATTAGCTGCTTCCATTTAGTTAAACCCAGATAATACAATTCCTTTATTAAATTCATATCAAATGGGTCATCAAGTAGCTATCATGGAAAAATGAGCAAACTTACTTCCAAACAATTGCATTCTCCGCTGCTTTATATTTGGCTTGGCCTTTTAAGCAAATTACTTGAACTCCGCTTGCATTCACAGGAGTTGGAACTCGAATCTCCACCTTCTGGGCGAATAGGGCTGGTTTGAAGTTGGCTTTCACAGCTACCTTCACTTCGAGTTTTGTCTTGCCAAACTCGCGGACTAAAGGAATTACACGAAAAGGAAGATTGATTTCCTAAATAGATGAACAAAAAAGAAACGAAAAAGAATAAAATCATAGCTAAATCAACGCTGATGAAATAAATAGCGATGACAGTAGTAGAGAATACTGTGGAATACATCTTACTACTATCATGAAAGTGATATTAAAAATGAAAGATGACCTGACGAGTGGTCGAAATAGGAAGGTGCGTCTTTAGTCAAAGGAATATATGATAGATGCTGAACAGAGCTATGTTAAATTAGTAACCAAAGTTTTTTTAGAGAAGTGGGTTGACCTCGTTTTTGAAACTGGGTCTTGTTGTCAGGGCGACTTAGTTGAACGCACCTCGTCCGAAGTCCTCTTTTATAGTAGTTATCATAATTACCAGCATCAGACCGTGAACATGGTATATTTTCAGAAATTTCGCCGGCATCGTAATCGGCGTCATCAGTGAGTCTTGCCATTTTCCTCACCAAGCTACGAACTCGTCAGAGACAAGTGAAGTCAATCCTTCGACCAACGTTCCGCAGAAACGGTTACACTATCCCTCTTCTTTCTATCCTGACCCATCAATCTACTCCTTACCCTCTTATCAAACTCCTTCCCTATCACTACTTCTGACTTGTTCACATTCCACTCGTCAAAATGTGTGCTTTATTTGGCAAATCTAGTGTGGCCTCATCACACTCATTCACCTTGACCCTCTCTCTTTTGATCGGCTAATCGTACTCTGGCCTCCTATTCAGATCTCCCACAGGGTCCCGTAGAGCCGTTCCCTATTTTTCTGGTTGACCGATTTCACTTGCTTCCAGTCCCAGTGTGCGTATTACTCCAGGCCCTAGAAGCACGTACACTCCCGCCTCACCGAGCAGAGTGCCTTGGTTCTGATTCCCATGCTTGCAGATATCACGCTTTGCCGTCACAGATAGTCTCCTCGATTAAACCCATGTTACCTGAGCAAACTGTGGACACCTATCCCAGGTCGTCTGAGGCATCTCAAGTGGATTTCTAGTACATTTTAGCCATAATACCGAATTTCTGTGACGGTTGTGCTTATCCGTCTATCCAGTTCCCTGATTGCCTGGTTCCCGAATTTCTATTAGTTTACTTCGAACAGACATCACTTACTGCTAACATCTAAGCTTGATTCCCAAATCCCCCTTTTTTTATTGCGATTATATTTCCTCTAGTATTCTTGTTTACCACGAGTTTGCTAAAGCAATAGACAAAGTTGTCGCTAACTTTGCCTTCCTCCAATCTCCCGTTCATTAAATTTTTTTCCCGAGTATATCAATTGCCTCGATAATCTTCCGTTTCCGTGCGCCTTTGCCGTATAAGGCCCTTCTTTCTGTTGTCGCCAGTCTGTACGATGTGTTCGGCTAATCCTGATCTTTTGGTATCTATTTTCCCGCAGAGCCTTTGATGTTCCATGATTCGAATGCTAATTTTTTCCGTTGTGCCAATAGGTTTCTGTTCGCAGATGCCGCATGCTATGCAGTAAACTCTTGAAGAATCCAATTCGTCCACCCTTTCATGTTGCATAGGTAGACTTGTGAAGTATTTTTTTTCCTTCATGGCCACCCGAATATTCCAATTCCTTAATATTGGCCGTAGTTTTAAGTTAGCTTGCAGAAAGGTAGGCATATCCACTTTTGTAAATCCTTCTTCGTCCTTACTGTTCTTTCGTGGGCTCCGTTCTGCCATCGGCTTTTCACGGCCCTTATGTTTCTTTCTAATACTTTACTGGGTAGCTGTTTCCGAAGAATATCCTAGTTACTTTGTCCAAATCCTTGTCCCAGAATTCCGCATCCGTTAAACGTAGGCTCCGCATCATTCCTATCTTTAACCTGTAATTGTGATGAGACTGGGAATTGAGTATTATCCCGACACAACACATCTTTGTGAACAATTCCTTCTTGAGCGTCCTATTAGAGCGAATCACTCCAATATCCGAGAAAGGTAACCACTCACCTTCCATTGTGAATTTTATTTTTTCATCTACCTGATTTATGAACTTCAGAAAAGCTTCCAGATTTTCTCTTCCATGTGACCAAAGTGCGAAGTAATTATCAAGGTACCGTATGAGTACTGTTGGTTGTAGTGATGACATCTTGAAGTTCTATTCTGATATGTTCATGTATACGTTTGCCAAAAGAGGTGATAGCAACGATCCCATGGAAAGTCCAAATATTTGTTCGTAGATTGTCCTGTTGAATGTAAAATAGGTTGTCATTATTGTCAAGTTAATTAGTCGTGTTAACGACTCCTTCCTGATCCGTTGTGATTCCAGGATATCCTGCTCCTGGTCCAGGATTTCCAGCAATGCCGTTAGCGCATTTTATCTAGAGATATTTGTATACATGTAATCCACATCAAAACGTATCAATAAATCTGTTTCTTCCAATGACATGTTTTTGATTCTAAAAAAATCCATATGAATTCTCTACCGTGTTTGATAATCTGTCATTTGATTTTGTGAATTTAAAACAGATGAACTTTGCCTATTTGCGTGTTGCTCCATACTTGTTGTTGATTATCAACCTTAATGGTTCGTCTTTGTGTATATTTGGCAATCCATAGGCTGTTGGTGGTCGTGAATCCTTTCTTATGACCGAATTTATTGTTCATGCGTCAATTTCCCGGTTCCCATACATACCTTTTAGCATATCAGTTAAGATTCCATTGATCTTCATAGTTAAGTCCTTCTCTAGTATAAGTTAAATAGTCCTGTTTGGTAGAATATATTCCATCTTCTTGATGTATTGTTTTTTGCCCATTATCACTATCGAACGTCATTTACCCGCCTGGAGGACTAATTGATAATTCGTTTCCAGGGTCTTATGTATCCTGGCAAATATGTTCCTGTGTGATGGTTCTTGATGTGTCAAGATCTTTGAAATTAGTTCCATCTCCATTTCCCATTTTGTCTCCTCAGGAAACTTTTCGGAGATAGTGATAACCTCCAACAGGATATCTCCTAAAAGGCTTTTGTCATATTGAAGTGAAAAGTTGAGTCCTTTTTCCAGGATGGTGGTGGTTTCAGGATTAAGAAGAAATGATGATAAATTCACTACTTTTTTCTCATCGTCGTGCTTTTTAGTAGGTGTTGGTTCCTCGGAAGCCACTTTGACTGGACGTACTGGCTTTAGCTTAAGCTGCCTTATAACTCAAAACGTACGGAATTTATCGCCAGAGATCCTACGTGATTTCCTGTCAGACATGCTCCAAAGTTTTTAAAGGCTTCCGGAGTCAGGAACCTGGCCAGATCACGCCGGAACTTTGACTTAATATCTATAAGCTTAAATAATTTATTCCACTCCGCAGCATAAGTTTCACTTAGGAGACGTCTGGATCAAGGATCTATAGCTAGGAGGAAAAATGATCGCGATGAAAAAGTGGGGGAGAATTTGGGAATCAGGCGAAGATGTTATCAGTGAATGATATATGTTCGAAGTAAACCAATAGAAATTCGGGAACCAGGCAATCAGGGAACTGGATAGACGGATAAGCACAACTGTAACAGAAATTCGGCATAATGGCCAAAAGTACTAGAAATCTACTTGAGATGCCTCAGACGACCTGGAATAGGTGTCCACAGTTTGCTCAGGTAACACGGGTTTAATCAAGGAGACTATCCGTGACGGCAAAGGGTGATATATGCAAGCATGGGAATCAGAACCAAGGCGCTCTGCTCGGTGAGGCGGGGGTGTACGTGCTTCTACGGCCTGGAGTAATACGCACACTGGGACTGGAAGCAAGTGAAATCGGTCAACCATAGAAATAGGGAACGGTTCTACGGGACCCTGTGGGAGATCTGAATAGGAGGCCAGAGTACGATTAGCCGATCAAAGGAGAGAGGGTCAAGGTGAATGAATGTGATGAGGCCACACTAGATTTGCCAAATAAAGCACACATTTTGACGATTGCAATGTGAACAAGTCAGAAGTAGTGATAGGGAAGGAGTTTGATAAGAGGGTAAGGAGTAGATTGATGGGCCAGGATAGAAAGAAGAGGGATAGTGTAACCGTTTCTGCGGAACGTTGGTCGAAGGATTGACTTCACTTGTCTCTGACGAGTTCGTAGCTTGGTGAGGAAAATGGCAAGACTCACTGATGACGCCGACTAAGATGCCGGTGAAATGTCTTAAAATATACCAAGTCCACGATCTGATTCTGGTAATTATGATAACTACTATAACATAGGATTTCGGATGAGGTGCGTTCAACTAAGTCACCCTGACAACAAGACCCAGTTTCAAAAACGAGGTCAACCCACTTATCTAAATCGAAAGGGCTGCGACCACACCGAGGGCTAGACCATATTAGTCTCCATATCTTCGATCAAGCAAAATTTTAATTGAAGATCGCCGGACTGTAAAACCGCCTATTATTGTTTTAATATCTCGATGCGAAGCTCACTCGGATGAAACTAATATAACTTTCTTGCTTAAATATATACTCATTCCAAATACATACCCAACACTGCTAGCAACAGCATAATAAAATGAAGGAAGATAGTGAGGTTATAATATTATAAGAGCTGTATCCACCCTATTTCGTTTAAGGCGATGAAGGACTCTTAGTTGAATATTCCCACAATTATAAGAGAATGCTTTCATTTTGAAATAAAGGCTATAAGAAATTCAAAGGAAACCTAAGACCTACTTATATCGCTGTGAGAAAATTCAACTAGCAGTGTGCTATCATCTTCAAATAAATAGGTTGAAAACAGCTCATACATCAGATATACTGGTAGTCTCGGAAAACCGATTTATGAAGAGAGAAATAACTAATATAATCGATTGCTATAACAAATACATCTTTCTTTAATCGACAACACTTCACATAATGTGGTATGTGAAAATGTCTTGTCTTCCTTGACATAAACACCTGCCCTTTGATCCAATGTCACTCGTGGCAGTGTGGCGTAGTGGTTAAGATTTCAAGATTATACGCTGCACTACCGAGCTTAAGGTTCCTCTGAGGGCACTAGTGAGACAGACCTAGGTGAGAACTAAACTGCAGTCCAACCTGAATAGTAATACTATTTGCGAAGCAAGGCTGTGAAATTTAATGGAAACATAATTGCGGGAAAATTCAACTGCCATTCATCATCATCACCTTAAACGAAATAGAGTGAATGCATCTCATACAGATGGTCTACAGGTAATCTCGAAGAATCTACTTATGAAACAAGAAATAATATTATAAGGCTTTCGACAAAGACATAGAGTAGTTAGATAAATGAAATTAAAAGTGGAGGCAAAACAATGATTTCTACTAAAAGTATACCATCAAAACCTTTTCCTAACCAATTACTTTCTAGTTGAGTTATCAACTATTTTGCTCGTAATAGATTTATATATAATGGCATTAAATTATGCATACAATATACACACTAAAGGAGAATGTGCATATAAAATGGGAAATTCAAAGTAATGAAGAAAGAAATTATCAAAGAATTAATAATCGTAGATATGAAGGTTCAAATGTTGTTGCCTCTGTTGTATTTGCAGTCTCCTTTCGCAGAAGTGGGTTGAATTTGTTTTCGCAACTTGGTCGTATTGTTAGGGGTTCTAGATGAAGGCACTTTGTCCTGAGTTATGACAATTCGCAGTTAGAACATGATCTTATAACTATGAGTATGTACCAAGTACATGACCCAAAGTGTGAATTGTCTTAACTGCTAGAGCAGAGGACTTTGGACTAGGTGTGTTCATAAAGGACGTTCTGATAACAAGATCAAGTTGTGAAAAAGACTAAGTCTCGAAACTTACTTAATCTATACGTAATAATATTTGCAAGTACAATGGCAGACAAAAGTTTGTTTATCAACATCAGTCCTCATTTATGTGGGTTAGGCAGACCTGGCTTGACTTGGGTGTCCTGTGAACTAATGGCACTCCCAACTGTGACGAAGTCGTAGCGTGACGAAAACGAAGCGGTCTAGAATCCTTTGAAGGATGTGGACGAGACCCAGACGAGGTCGAAACATTGGTCGGACCTGGGTGAAAAGGCCTTAAGAGGCAAGACTACTCTTAATCACCTAATTGAGATATAATCAGATGACAGGATTTCCATCATCTAAAACAATCTAAGGTTATTAGTTATTTACATAAAGAGTGAACGTAATCTTACAGAATTAAGGAATTGATAAAAAAGCAGTTTACCTTAGTAGTCCGATAATGCATAAGGTCGAACTCCCCGTCCGGAGGAATGAAGGAAATGGTATGTTCAGTCTCAAAACGGCCTAATTTAACACATTGATGGAATTGACAGTAATCAATCGCAATTCCGCCAGCACCGCTTGCAGTTCCACCACCCGTACTGCCACCAGGACTTCCAGTACCACTACAAAAAATAAAGAAAATAATAAAACTTTAAAAAAGAGCTGAAGAAGAGGAAAAATCAAGAAAATTTAAGCCACATTCAGCTGAGGAAGACAATATAAAAAGCAATTATGGCTTGGGACATCATATAGCAGAAGGATCATTTAGGCAATAAAAATGTGTTCGATGCCAAGCTGATTAACTCCGTTGGGGACCCGATTAAACAAGATTTTACAGAAAATGGCAGCAATTCTAGCCAAGAAATAAATTTAAGAGAAAATATGATCTAATATAGGGACACAATGTAGCATAATTAAAAAAAGCCTGTTTCCACTCCGATTGGGAAAAGGATAAGATCACCTAATTATTTCAGTAAAAAGTCAAATTAAAGGATATCAAATTGAATCCATACAACGAAAAGGGACTATATCTTCTGGGTTTGTTAAAGAACCTATAAACCTCAAAAAAAATTAAATTAAATAATAAGTGGTCTGACTTAATTTCCACAACTTGGTCGTGGTGTCAGG